CTCCGCTTCTTGGATTTCTTCTTCTTCTTACTGCTGCTGCTGCTGCCACCGCCGCCGCCAGCGGCGGCGGCGGCGGCAGAATGCGCCGCTGCGTTAAACATTAACCCAACGTCACCGTCACCGTCGCCGTCACCGCCTCCTACCCCTTCTCCCAACGCCGCCTCCTCCTCCTCCTCCAGGAGCGCCCTCAGTGCCGCCAAAGCCTCCGCATGCTTCTTAGACCTGGGCCAGCATCCGCCGGAGAAAAAGGGGTGCTTTTCTAGCTGGGCTGGGCTGGGGGTTGGACTGGGCTAGTAGCTTGTAGGGGTTATGGTGATGGCATCCGGGCGAAAATGGCGCTTGGGGCCGCGCGATGGTGCTTTGACGGGTGACGCAGTAAAGGACTGATCTCGTCGGTTCGTAGGTAAGGCAGGTGGACGCGAGATCTCGCCCCTCTCTGCCATGCGCCCTGTCCGCCCCGACTGGGATGGCCAAAACAGGCTCCAAACGACCCAGCACGCCGCGACACCGACGCTTGGAAAGGACCCCACATAACGAATAGAACCCTCGTTAGAGACCCGCGCAATCTCTCACGCTTCTACTAGGCCCCCTAACCCCCGATCCATTGCCTCATTGCCCTAACTCACAAAACAAACAACAGCAGCAGCAGCAGCAGCAGCAGCAGCAGCAGCACGTACGGGCAGATTACGTCTGGACGTGTGAAGGATGCCACTGCACCGCAGCACACGGGCACCCCACCCCACCCCACCCCAGGAAGGAACCCACCTTTCATGGTTTCTAAGCTGCTTTTCGCTCCGAAACACCTTGTCGCACACCACGCACTCAAACACCTCCTCTTCCTCCGCGTCCTCCTCCTCCTCCTCCTCATCTCCGCCAGGGTGGTGACGCGCCTCGCTGCTCCGAATCCAGTCCGCATCCTCGTACTCGGCCTGTTCGTACAGATGTACGCGCGTGTACGCACGTATGTACGTATGTGTGTGTGTCAGGAGCACTAGGCGAGGGAATGGAGGGGCTGTTTGAGGAGGGGACGACGACGGGACCACCCGCCGCCGCCGCCAAGGCGGGCTGAGCAGCACAAGGAATGTACTGTACTGACAGATAGTTTCACAATGCTTGTTTGTTTTTCTGATGATTTTGTCCTAAACCCGAAATCCCGGTGCGCATGCGATACCCCCTCCACCCTACTTCACTCCACCCTACTCCACCGTATCCCAAACCCATACAGAGTAGCAGCTGAAACAGGGCTAAGCCGGCAGCAGCTGCATGCAAAATGTTGACACAGAAGCATGCTATATGCTTCGGCACGGAGGAGCAGGGCGAGGAGGACGCAAACAAGAACAAATGCGAACGGGCCCCTGTTACCTCAGCCCTACTCCCCCTACTCAGCCCTACAGCCCCAACCCTTACCCCGCCCCGGCTCGGCCCTTACGCTTCCCCCACCTCCACACACACACACACACACACTAGACACCGCTCCGATTTCACCCCCCTTTTCCCACCCCGTCCACTCCCTCCCCCTAGGGTGCCCCTCCCTGCCTCACCGCCCTAGCCAGCCGCGCCTCCCGCTCCACCCTCCTGCGCTCCGCCTCCTCCGCCTCGCGAGCCGCCCGTCGAGCTGCCTCCTCAGCCTGGGGAGGTGCGGACGGGTGGTGGTGGTGAAAGTGGTCTCGGTTTAGTGGAGGAGGGGAAAGGAGTGGAAGGTTCTTTTCACCTGTAAGGGAAGGCGGCAGGAGGAGGGAGGAGGGTGGAGGGAGGAGGGAGGAGGGAGGA